GGGTCAGAAGCCAGGAAGGATGGTCGCCAGAGCCGGGGTCAGAAGCCAGGAAGGATGGTCGCCAGAGCCGGGGTCAGAAGCCAGGAAGGATGGTCGCCAGAGCCGGGGTCAGAAGCCAGGAAGGAGTCTTGCCAAAGCCGAGTCGGTATCCAGGATCCAGGAGAGCAATGAGAACTAAACAGGAGCTTGCTGCTGTGCAACAGACAGGACACGAATGCAATGGACAGCTACAAACAGCAGACTTATATGTGATAAGCCCCCACCTCCTGGGGGAGGAGCCACAGAGGCTGAAAGCATAAAAGGATTCCACAATGCTTTGCAGACACCTAAAATGGATGCCAGCACATGGACCAGCACAAGCCCTGAGAAAAGGTAGGACCTTGACACGTGGATAGGACGAATAAATTTAATTAAAATGGTAATCTTCCTAAAAATTTTATATAAATTCCAGATGATCCCAATAAAGCTGCCAGGACTGTATTTTAGGATAATGAAAAAAATTATGCTAAAGTTCATATGGAGAAATAAAAATACCTAGAATATGTTATGAAGTTCTAACTAGAGACAAAGAAAAAAGAGGTTTAGGTGTACCTGATTTCAGAAGATATTATAATGCAGTATTGATAGCATGAATTTTTGATTGGACACATAATTCACTGGGGAAAAGTTGGATAAATATAGAAACACTCTAAGTAAAACACATTTGGATAGGATAATATGGTTGCCACCTCACTTTCGTGGAGTGATAGAAAGTACAAGTGTATTTACGAGAATTGTTTTAAGAGCCTGGGACACAATGCACAAACAGATGGGATGGGAATTTAACTCTATGTTGATGCCTATTGTGTTTTTTTTCCACCGGGGATTGAAAAGATTGCAGGGAGATGGATAAGGAAGGGAGATGCTCAATTAAGAGACCTAATGAAAGGCAAGGAAATGTTCCCCTTAGTAGAATTGAAGAAGAGGGAGTTGTTCATTAACCTCCCTAACGGTATTCCCAAGTGTAGCTCGGGGTAAAATGTCTGTACCAAAAGCGGTAACCCCGAGCTACACTCGGGCTTACCATGCAGCGCTGCATAGGGAGTCCCTGCAGCACTTACCTTGTCCTTCGCTCCGGCAGTGTGTCCCCTGCAGCGTCCCCGGCCATCTCCTCCGGCAGATGCCGGCATCCGGCTCCTGTGTTCCAGTCCCTGTGACGTCGGGACGTACGGGCGCCGGCGGAGGCGGGAAATTTGAAAATTAAAAAAAAGTCATTTTTTTCAAAACGATTTTTCATAGTAAAACATTGCTGTTTCAACCCATTTCACATACATTTTGTCCCTAGTGCTCTGTCCTGTCCCCTGTCTGCATTTTGAATGTTCTTTCTGCCTGGAAACTTAGAAAAGTCCACGGCATCCAAAAAGTGTCCCTTTAGGTCAAAAGCGGGTTTAGATCAGCTAGAGAACAGCGATAGTAAATCAGAACCACTTGCAGAATTGAATGATAATGATTCGTGGAGAAATTCGTCATCAGACACTGAAAACAATTTTGCGACTTTGCTCAGCAATGTGCGAACTTGGTGCTATATTTCAAATTTCAGTGTTTTTGGTTTGATTATATTATTGAATTAAATGTAATATTATTATTTTTTTTATGATTATTTATTAAATTATAATTTATGATTTTGTGTTTCAAATTTTATCATACCCGGGATGTTTAATAGACTCTTGTTCGGACAGATTTCAGTGAGTTATTCCTAAATATTACAGGCCTACAATAAAAAAATGACATATTTCCATGCAGAATAATGGTACCGCTTTCAGCAACAAAAATCGGAAATAATCATACTGCTAGGGAGGTTAAAGTAGATGAGTGGCGGTATCTACAAATAAAACATTTCATAGAAAAACTTCCTAGGCCCCTAAGGAAGAAAGAACAATGGAACCCATTTGAAAATTTGTTTAGTACATGGGGAGATGGGAAACATGGAACTTCGAAAATATATAAAATTCTTACTAAGTTAACAACAAAAATGGTACCGGCATATATGGAGTGAGGAGGGGGAGAGGGAATTAGGAATAAAAATAGAGGAGGATAAACAAAAAAAGATTTACAAGTTAACACACGTAATGTGAGCATGAAAGAGGTAGTGATGAACTATAAATGTTTGGTGAGGTGGTATATGACACGAAATATAGTACACAAACAAAATAGGGATAAATCACCTTTATGTTGGAGGGGTTGTGGGGAACAGGGCACAGTAGGTCACATTTGGTGGGAATGTCACAAAATTAGGGAGGGGGGAAGGGGGAGTTTGAATTTTTTATATGTTGGGTGAAAATAAGGGAATAAATTATGGTGACATTTTAATTGATGGAAGAGCTAAAATGTAAAACTTAATAAAATATTAATAAGAAAAAAAAAGAATACATTTTGGCTGAAATTTATGATGAAATTTGATTTTTAAATTTTTTTACTGGACATGTTTTATAGCAAAAAATATTATTTTTTTTTCTCAAATTTGTCAGACTTTTTTTTTTATAGTGCAAAAAATAAAAAACGCACAGGTGATCAAATACCATGAAAAGAAAGCTCAATGTGTGGGAAAAAAGGACATACATTTAATTTGGGTGCAGTGGTGCATGACCGTGCAATTGTCAGTTAAAGAAAAGCAGTGACGTAACACAAACTGCTTCTGTAACAGCTTCCTGATTGCCCTATAGCAGAAATACTGCTACAGGGCGGCATGGGTGCACAAAATCACATATTTATACACGTGATTCACGCTCCTGCGGTCTCCCAGATAGCGCCAGATTGCCCGTCAGTACACCAGTCATTACATTTAACCCCTTGATTGCCAGGAACACGCTCATGCACAATAAACCTCCATTGCTAGTATAGTGTCTGAACGGATCAATATCTTTGATCAGATCAGCACTATACAAGCGTTCACATTAGTATAGCGTCCCCAAAAAACGCAGCGTTAGCGGGATCAGCCAAAGAACCTGCCAGCACCTGCGTTTAGCCCCTACACTTACCCCTTCTTCTCCCCCAGCAAGCACAGTGTCAGTAGGTCACTGTCACTTGATACATTGCACACCAAACCACAGTGTTGGCAGAATAAGGCCTGATCTCTGTTAGAACTTGTCAGTAAATTTTGATGACTCTCATATGCAGAAGAGTGCCAGTACTAGTTACACTCTATCTTTTGGTGAACTGGTGAGTACTAGTGGCCTAGTACATCCTGGTTTTTCTCATATCTCTTAGATTGTTAGCTCCCAGGATCAGTCCCTCCTAAGCCTCTTGTATTGAACTGTATTGTTATGTATTGTCTCCCGTTATATTTGTAGCACTGAGCAAACTGTTGGCGCTATATAAATCCTGTATAATAATAATAATAATACCAGCACTGCAGTATGACTTGGCAACGTGGTGAGTCCCATAAGTGCAGTACAAGCTGGTGTGATGGCGAGCACAAGTATTGTCCGGCAACCACTAAGAATTCGCACACAGGCCTGTAGAGCCCCTAGTATCCTTCCGGATGTGCTTGCAAATCCCGATTGACAGCCCACAAATTCTGCAGCACCCGTACCATTTACTGCCCAACCCAGAATTCAGGTGGAAATAGCAAATTTAACTCCTCCCCTTGATTTTTTGAGCTGTTTTTCAAGGAATATCTGTATGCATTGATTGTGGATCAAAGCAATTTATATGCACAACAATTTATTGCCGCCAACCCAAATTCAATCCTTGCCAGACCAGTTGCATGGAAACTCATTACGGTTTTCGAATTTACATTTTTTTTGGGCCTAACCCTCAACATAGGCATTACTAAAAATAATGAATTCTGGTTGTATTGGTCCACAGACCCGATTCATCATATGCCGTGTTCTCTGCTGCCATGGCCAGGCATAGATATGAGAGTATAATGTGTTTTATGCATTTCAACAACAATACACTCTGTCATCCTTGGGGTAACCCTGAATTTGACCGGCTCCACAAAATTCAGCCCCTCACAAACCACCTTAACCAAAAATTTGCAGATGTCTATACTCCCCAGCAAAAAATCTGCGTTGATGAGTCCCTGATTAATTTTTCTGGCGGCCTTGCATTCAAACAATTTCTCCCCAGCAAGCATGCCAGATATGGGATCAAGATGTAGAAGACCTTATTAGAGGACAACAGGCTATACTTATAAGTTTCGGATTTATACGAGGGAGAAGATAGTTACGTGGAGCCCCCCGGATGCCCAGACTACATGGGGAACAGTGGCATTATTCAAGTGTGCCACTATTTAGACATTTGTCCAATCTTGGAAGTGGCGCTGTTTAACCGCTGTATGGAGGGAATGTCATAGAACTGTCAGAAATAGACTATTAATGACAGTTCTGGGACTGTCCTTCCATACAGCGGTTGAAACATTGTATGTATTTGTTTCCATAAATGGATCCATTTATGGAAACAAATACATACAATGTTTCAACCGCTGTATGGAAGGACAGTCCCAGAACTGTCATTAATAGTCTATTTCTGACAGTTCCATGACATTCCCTCCATACAGCGGTTGAAACAGCTGTATGGAGTGAATGTCCCAGAACTGTCAGAAATAGACTATTTCTGACAGTTCTGGGACAATCACTCCATACAGCTGTTTCAACCGCTGTATGGAGGGAATGTCATGGAACTGTCAGAAATAGACTATTAATGACAGTTCTGGGACTGTCCTTCCATACAGCGGTTGAAACATTGTATGTATTTGTTTCCATAAATGGATCCATTTATGGAAACAAATACATACAATGTTTCAACCGCTGTATGGAAGGACAGTCCCAGAACTGTCAGAAATAGTCTATTTCTGACAGTTCTGGGACATTCACTCCATACAGCTGTTTCAACCGCTGTATGGAGGGAATGTCATAGAACTGTCAGAAATAGACTATTAATGACAGTTCTGGGACTGTCCTTCCATAGAGCGGTTGAAACATTGTATCTATTTGTTTTCCATAAATGGATCCATTTATGGAAACAAATAGATACAATGTTTCAACCGCTCTATGGAAGGACAGTCCCAGAACTGTCATTAATAGTCTATTTCTGACAGTTCTATGACATTCCCTCCATACAGCGGTTGAAACAGCTGTATGGAGTGAATGTCCCAGAACTGTCAGAAATAGACTATTTATGACAGTTCTGGGACATTCACTCCATACAGCGGTTGAAACATTGTATCTATTTTTTTCCATAAATGACATTCTGCAGATACACTTAGAGGAGCGCTGCAGATACACTTTTTGCCGGCTTGGAATTATTCTTATTTTCATCCTACTTCTCTTTTTCTTCTTATGAGGATGAGGATGAAGAAGAAGAAGTAGGATGAAAATAAGATTTAATTCCAAGCCGGCAAAAAGTGTATCTGCAGCGCTCCTCTAAGTGTATTTGCAGAATGTCATTTATGGAAAAAAATAGATACAATGTTTCAACCGCTGTATGGAAGGACAGTCCCAGAACTGTCATAAATAGTCTATTTCTGACAGTTCTGGGACATTCACTCCATACAGCTGTTTCAACCGCTGTATGGAGGGAATGTCATAGAACTGTCAGAAATAGACTATTAATGACAGTTCTGGGACTGTCCTTCCATACAGCGGTTGAAACATTGTATCTATTTGTTTCCATAAATGGATCCATTTATGGAAACAAATACATACAATGTTTCAACCGCTGCATGGAAGGACAGTCCCAGAACTGTCATTAATAGTCTATTTCTGACAGTTCCATGACATTCCCTCCATACAGCGGTTGAAACATCTGTATGGAGTGAATGTCCCAGAACTGTCAGAAATAGACAGAAACTGTCACAGAACTGTCCTTCTTCTCATCCTTCTCCTTCTTCTCATCCTTCTTCTCATCCTTCTTCTCATCCTTCTCCTTCTTCTCATCCTTCTCCTTCTTCTCATCCTTCTCCTTCTCCTTCTTCTCATCCTTCTCCTTCTCCTTCTTCTCATCCTTCTCCTTCTTCTCATCCTTCTCCTTCTCCTTCTTCTCATCCTTCTCCTTCTCCTTCTTCTCATCCTTCTCCTTCTCCTTCTTCTCATCCTTCTCCTTCTCCTTCTTCTCATCCTTCTCCTTCTCCTTCTTCTCATCCTTCTCCTTCTCCATCTTCTCATCCTTCTCCTTCTTCTCATCCTTCTCCTTCTCCTTCTTCTCATCCTTCTCCTTCTCCATCTTCTCATCCTTCTCCTTTTCCTTCTTCTCATCCTTCTCCTTCTGCTTTTCCTTCTCCTTCTCCTTCTCCTTCTTCTCATCCTTCTCCTTCTTCTCATCCTTCTCCTTCTTCATCCTTCTCCTTCTCCTTCTTCTCATCCTTCTCCTTCTTCTCATCCTTTTCCTTCTTCTCATCCTTCTCCTTCTTCTCATCCTTCTCCTTCTCCTCATCCTTCTCCTTCTTCTCATCCTTCTCCTTCTCCTTCTTCTCATCCTTCTCCTTCTCCTTCTTCTCATCCTTCTCCTTCTCTATCTTCTCATCCTTCTCCTTCTCCTTCTTCTCATCCTTCTCCTTCTTCTCATCCTTCTCCTTCTCCTTCTTCTCATCCTTCTCCTTCTTCTCATCCTTCTCCTTCTCCTCATCCTTCTCCTTCTCCTTCTTCTCATCCTTCTCCTTCTCCTTCTTCTCATCCTTCTCCTTCTCCTTCTTCTCATCCTTCTCCTTCTTCTCATCCTTCTCCTTCTCCTTCTCCTTTTCTTTCCTCATCTCCAAGGGCATTTAAATTAAAGGTACAGTGTTCTGCACTAATTTAAAGGCTCTCTGAAGCCTAGAAACCCTTTTTATAAGTCATCTTCGTAGCGAAGAAATTCGCATCGAATCGAATTTCCACTGGAATTCGCCGAATCAGCCGAATCGAATTTTTGAGAAATTCGCTCATCTCTAGTGCCAATCATCTCTATAGTCTAAGAATTTGGAAGCTATGAGCATTTAATCACTTCAGTTTTGCAGGATATTTGCAGCGCCATTTGTAAATTGGGAAAGCATCTGATCACCCCGATTTTGGTTTGATTAGATAATGTAAGGGCAGAGGAAATATTCAGTCTGATAGACCCCAGATTTCTCAAAAAAGAATATATGACAATGCCCATTGAAGTTATAGGGGATATTTGCATTCCCTGTGATAACATTAAAAGTGATAAAAAAATGAAAGGTACAATGTAAAAATAATAAAAAAAAATCAAGTAACTTAAAAAAAAAAAAAAAAAAAAAACTTGCCCCTTCCATGCGCGCACACCTGTGCGCAAAAGCGTTGACCCTGTACCGGTATGTAAACAGCAGTTGCACCATGCATGTGAGCTATCGCCATAAACGTCAGATCAAGGGCAGTAATTCTAACACTAGACCTCCTCTGTAAATCTAAAATGGTAGCTTTTAAAGGCTTTTAAAGCGTTGCCTATGGATATTAAAAAATATATGCAGTTTGTCGCCATTGCACGGGGCATGCGCAGTTTTTAAAGCATGTCATGTTTGGTATCTATTTACTCGGCATACCATTATTTTTTATATTTTACTAAATAATTGGCCAATATATATTGTGTTTTTGTGCATTAAAAGTAAAAAAAGTGTATTTCTTATTTAAAATTTGCTTTCGAAAAATCACTGCGTGAGTACTATGTGCTATACAATATTGTAGTACCCGCCATTTTATTCACTAGGGTGTCTGCTTTAAAAAAATATATAATTTTTGGGGGTTTAAATCAATTTACTAGCAAAAATACAGTTTTTTTTTCCTGTGAACAAAAAGTGTCAGAAAATGCTTGATCTTTAGGTGGTTAGAAGAGTGAGTGATGTGTGGCATAAACTTCTAATGCTGGGCATAAAATGCCCCCACCCCCAAAACGAAACCTTTTTGGAAATAGACACCCAAAACTATTTGCTGAGAGGCATGTTGAATCAATAGAAGAATTTATTTTTTTTACCACAAGTTTTTGGAAAATGACAAAAACAAATTATTATTATTTTTTTTTACACAAATGATTTATTGCTCACACATGCCACGGGTATATGTGGAATTATTCCCCAAAATACATTCTGCTACTTCTCCCGAGTATGGGGGTACCACATGTGAGAGACGTTTTGGCAGTCTAGCCAAGTGCAGGACCCCAAAATCCAATAAGCACCTTCAGGCTTTTAAAGGGCTTTATTTCCTCATTACACTTCCAGACTACCTATCACAATTTCGGAGGCCCTGAAATGCCAGAATAGCACATAACCCCCCCCAAATGACCCCTTTTTGGAAAGTAGAAATTTGATGAGAAGCATGGTAAGTATTTTGCAGATCTCATTTGTTGCCACAAGTTTTTGGAAATTTTTTTTTATATTTCAAAACCTTGTGAGAAAAAATGAGATCTGCAAAATACTCACCATGCCTCTTTTTAAATTCCTTAGGGTGGGGGGCACATGCGCGGCCGGCTCTGATGGTGGACCGTCCACCCGCCAGTACACGAGCGGCTCACACCGGCCCTGGGACTCCACACAGGCTCCGCTGCACTGATATACAGTGCCCGCACCTCCCCAACTATGCCGCGGAGGAAAATAACCTCCGCTCAGCCCGGGAAACTCACCCAATTCTTCCCGGCCGTCGGGCCCGAAAATCCAAGATGACGCCCGTGGCTGCAAGCAGGGGGACATCAGCAACGCCCAGCAGGAGGACTACATGGCCCAGCAAAATGATTCCAGGCTGCAACACTCGCTCTACCCTGGGGACCCTGGTGAGTTGTCACCCCCACTGTCCCCTACATCACTCAGCCCAGCTAAATCCAGGCCACGGCTAGATCAGGACCCCAGTACAGCATATCAGGCCTCAAATCCTATATTACAACCTTCTCATACAGCCATGCCTGACATAGATGCATTCCCTGCGTCTGACATACCCTTGACGGAGATATGCATGAAAAGTATGCTTACATCTCTGCGCCAATCTTTACACAACGATATTTTTACGTCACTCAACCAGCTATCAACTATAGTACAAAAACAAGACCACAGAATAAGCCACATTGAAAATAACATGGGAGACATAATCACGGCGCACAACAACTTGATTGACGCACATACAGAACACTCAACCGATATTGAGCAAATCAACCAAAAAATTAGCCGACTTGGAGGACAGATCACGCCGCAACAACATTAAGTTCAGAGGCATCCCTGAATCTATTACCAATGGCGACTTACTACCATACATACAGCACTACATCAAAATTCTACTTCCGTCAATCTCTGACATAGAGATCGCAATTGACCGTGCGCACCGTCTACCAAAAACCCTCCTTCCTACCAGCAACCATCCCGAGAGATGTATTAGCCCGCATCCATTTCTGCCATGTAAAAGACAAAATTATGTCGGCGGCCCGAAATCCACCGCCACTCCCGCCATCTCATGCAAATCTCCGCCTATATGCTGATTTATCTAAAGCTACTCTCCTCAACAGAAAAAAGAATGGTGTCCATCACCAAGGCCCTCAGGAATCATGGTATAGCCTACAAATGGGGGTTTCCCACCAAATTAACGGTGCGGCAACATGGTAGGATCTTTACTATTTAAACACTAGAGGCAGGCCTGGATTTGCTAAAAACCTGGAATAACCTCCCTGCAGAATCACAAGAACCCGCGCATAGTTCTATGGAAGCAACATAGTCTTTACAAGACGTATCTTATATTGAAACATGCTCACACTTTTTCCCAGGAGCCATTTCTTAATTCGATATCTCTGGCGTTCGGCCCAGACCCTTTGAAGTTTCGTACTACGTATTTACAATTGACTTGACTCCCTCAGGCGGTCAAGCCCATCCGCATCCCCCAATTTTAAAGTAGCAATGTTGGCTACTCAACATACTTGCATTTTTTGCAAGTGTTTTTTTACTGTTCTATCTTATCATATTTCCTTCCCCTTGGCACCATTGGACTCCGTACCTGCAAGGACCCAAGAGTTACTTACCTCGACTCCTCATGGAAAATTTCTCAACGCTCCGATTGATTGTCCATCATCACCCCCACCTGAAATACCGTATTTTCCGGAAAAACACAATACATGCTTCTCTCAGATAACACCAGATTACGGAAAAGCTTCGGAAACCATACTTCCCCAATGATTAATATTACAATGTACTGGCTAAATTTCACCATATAAACGGATCACTACTCAAGGAAGCATGGTCAAGCGGACATCCTTCATACAGGAAACACCTTCGCTACCTTCCAATTGCAAAACTGTACCTTCAAGCTGTTCATGGCAACTAACCCAAAAAGAACAATGGACTTACGCCATTAATGGACTCTCTCTCATTCAGTATCCTATCACAGACGGCGGACCCCACAAGGCCGCTACCATATATTTGTGTAAAATAAACGACAAGACATACTTTAGTGAATGTCTATGGCCGAACTGCAAACAACTACGTTCTACCGTAAAAACTCTACAAAGTCATCTCCCCACTTAAACAAGGGAAACTCATCATCGGTGGAGACTTCAACATTGTAGGTAACTCGGACATAGACTCGTCTTCCACCTCGAAATCCACAAAACCGACCCTTAACCAATTTCTTCATGACAATGACTTATATGATATCTGGAGATGTCAACACGGATCTGAAAGAGACTAACCTACTACTCTCCCCCACATCTCTCGTACTCACGAATAGACATGTTTATAACGGACAAATGGACATTACAACATGTGAACGTCATCCAAAATAGAGACTATAACCTGGTCCGACCATGCTCCAATCCAAATATCACTAGATGATGATCAAAATATGGCGATAACCACCTATCTGGAGACTCAACTCCTCAATCCTGACGTCACCGGAGAATCAGAAGCATATTCATGACGCTCACAAACTCTTTTTTGATACCAATGTCACCCCTGATATATCCATCACCACACTCTGGCCGGCTTACAAGGCCTACATGAGAGGTATCCTCATACAATTAAATTCCCGCA